GGTGGAGAAGGAGGAGGTGAAGAAGAATTATTATTTGTCGTTTTTCTTACATAAGAATGAATAATACAATGTAAAAGCCAAGAACATAATCAGCCAGCCATAGCAGTAGTGTGATTTGGGACAGTAATTTAACCTCTGTGAACCTCTAGTTTACTTTCTGTGCATATCTGCTAGTAGTGTTTCCATGTAAAAATTCCTTTCCGGAATTTTTTAGGAAATGTGTATTTTCCTGAAATTTTCCTTTTTTATGGTACTTGGGGTTAAGCCTACATCCTTTGAGTTGAACTAAGTCCCCAGCCCCCTGCTCTTTAGTTTCTATTTTGAGCCAGGATCTAGCTAAGTTGCTCAGGCTTGTCTAGAACTTATGATTTTCTCTCTCTCTCTTTTTTTTTTTTTTTGATACAGGGGATCGAACTCAGGACTTTGCACTTGTGAGGCAGGCGGTGGCACCACTGAACTACATCCCTGGCCCTGTATTTTCCTGAATGAATCCCATAAAAATGTATTCAAGAAATTAGGAAGATGGGAAAAAACTATCATAAATCTTCTGTGAGAAGTAAAGCATGCTAACCGCATAGAGACATTGTAAGCTTTAGGACACCCCCAGATGCCACAGGAAGCAAGAGCACGAACTGCAGATGCGCAGAGTGGAAATTAAGGCAGACGTTTATGGAATGGGATGGGACCACGCAGAGGAAGAAAAGCAGCCGCCATTTTATCCTGTTTGGTCCCATACCGCATGGACGACCGCTGAGTGCTGTAAAGATGTGGTCAGCCTGAATGAGATGTGCTCTGCTCTAGGAATAAAATATGTCAGATTTTAAGATTTAGTTGAGAAATTAAAACGCCTAAAATACCTCATTAATAAGTGATTATATATTAAAATGATAATACTTTGGATATATTGGGTTAAATAAAATATATTATTAGAGTTCATTTTACCTACTTCCTTTCTTTTTTTTAATGTGAACTTTAAAAATTTAAAATCCCAGGCCAGGGATTCAGCTCAGTGGTTCTGCCACCTTCCTCGCAAGTGCAAAGTCCTGAGTTCAATCCCTGGTGCCAAAAATAAAATAAAATAAAATAATTAAAATCCCATAGGTGATCAGCATTCATGACTTATGGTCATTCCCAAGTGTGGGAGACAAAATTCTAATAGGATCCAGAGTTTTCAGACTACTGGTATACCCACTTTCCCCTGGTTATTCCATGAAACACTAAATACTGCCATGAAGGGAATTTGGAGATGCAATTATTGAATCAAATCAGTTGACCTTAAATTAGGGAGTTGCCTAGATGGGCCTGGCCCTTTGAAAGCTGAGAGTTATCTCTCCATCCCAGAAGAGGAAAGTGGAATGTCATACTCCAGGTACCCTGGAAAGCAGAAAGTACCTAGGTTATGGGCTGGCTGGGGGAACCACATAGCAAGAAATTGTGGAGGGCTCCTGGTTGCTGAGGAGTTCCAAGCCAACAGCTGATAGGAAAGGGGGGATTTCCATCCTGCTCCTATGAGGAAATGAATAAACCCCCAATGAGAACAGTAGCCTTCGTGGACACTTGAGTTTCAGCCCAGTGACCCCTCACCTACAGACACTATGACATAATAAATTTGTGTTGTTGCAAGCTGCCAAATTTGTGGTAATTTGTTGCATAGAAATAGAAAACCAATGAACCGTGTTGCAAGGGCTTGTTTGTGATTCTCTTTGTGACTAATGGTGAGTCATTCTTGCAAATAAATGTCACTAAGTCTGCTATATGCACACTATACTTTGTACAAATCCTATGAATGATGTTCCAAGAAATGACATATTTAGAGACAAAATAAGCCCTTAATTTTGCAATTTTGACATATGATTCTGTGTAGTGCCGTTAATCTTATTAGGGGATCCAAATGTTTTTTGGTTTTTTTAGCATTTCTTAGATATTGTGTACATTTTGTTGGCAATTTTCAGTTTTTGAATATTTATTATAGTCTATGGTTCTTTGTAAATACTACTAAAATACTAAAAATGAAAAGCAAAATAGCACCAAACCCCTAAAGCAAACAAATACTACAGTAGTAAATACTGCCTTTTAAAATAAAATCCAGAAAAACGAATGATTTCAGGAATTTCCAAGAAAATTCCTGGGAATTCTGATTTTGTTTCCAATTCCCAAAGATAAGAATCTGTTGGAAATACTGCTTATAGTGTTGCTATGAATTAAATACATTTATGAGAGCAAATGGCTTAGCCCAAGGCTGGTACTTTGGAAAGTGAACAGTGCATGGTAGTCTTTATTAATCTCTGTGTAGCTTTTAATACAGAAATAACAGGAACATCAAATTGACTTTGACTGTGAAGAATAAAGCTTAAATTTAAATCTGAATTCATGTACCATAGAGAAGGGTGAGGAAATTTACTGGTTTGAAGAAATCCAGAGGATTACTTTGAAGGTAAGCCAACAATCTGAATAATTTTTCATTTGTGCTATTTTTACTTATTATTTATTAAAAAGAATTACTGAGATAAGTAATAGATATAATTTTTGAGTCCCAAAGAAAGACAAAATAACAAAGCAAATAACCTTTCTCCCAAACTCACATCCATTTTCTTGCCTTAAGAGGTCTAATTCAGTTTGAATAGTTTGATCTGATTTGATTTGATTGCTACTAATAGAAAAATACTGTGCAGTACCTAACAAGCTTGACAATTTCTGTACATTAACTATAGAAGCACTACTTACAATCCCTTCACTCACAAGAAGGAGGTATTTGGGTTGCAAATAAGGTTAAAGAAACAGAATAAAGAGATAAAATGGATTGTGTTTCAGTGTATTAACTTTCCTTTTTTTTCCTCATTAAATTTATTGGTACATTTTAGGTATACAGTACAGTTACATTCATCATTGGGATCTTTGGGATCTTGTACCTTTACATGACAGCTCTTG